GACAAAAGTAAGAACCAAAAAAAATAAGAAAGTAGAAGATTGTTGAAGAAAACGAATAAACATGAATTGAAGATAAGGGATCTCAAAAAGATAATTATAGAATATATATAGAAAACACAAAGAGAAAAGAGAAAAAAATAAACGGAATTTCAAAAAGATAATTTTTTACAGAGAAAAGGTGGAAACAAACTATACTCCGACTGAMATGACACGAAGCAGATGGAAGGAAAACAACGAAGCCAATATTGGGAATGAAACAAAAATTCCCTTACGTGTGGAAAAACAACTTGATTGCATTCTGTTTCCGTCGTCCAGTCGTTTAACCTCACAGATCCGTCCGTCACACCAGACTGCACGCCTTGGTAAGCCATCCAATTAATAGTCACATTACCACTTGATCCAACCCCATTCTCTACTAGACAGACTTTAAAACTACTTGTAGTGACAGACTCAACCCACGTGAACACTACGTCATGTACACGTGATGAACTCGTGCCAAAACCAACTGACGTAAAGACTTTGACAGGATCAACTCCCGTGAAGGCTGTTGGGAAGGTGATAGTATCGCAGTAGTAATTATCWGGGTTTGTCTGCCCGATGCGAAGAGTTCCATGCTGCAAGCCTGTTTAACACAAAAACGATCAGTGAGATAAAGATTTTTTCGAGGTCATTGCAATCTTGACCACTGCAATTATACGAATTATACGAAATCTTAATTAAATTGATAAAGACTTCTAGACTYTGGCGGTGTGGCATCATGTTCCTACTAATGAATCGTATTATCATGAGTGAAGCTTCGTTCGAAGGAAGATGAAAGATTGGCTAAAACGTCCATGGCATAAGGACGGGGGACTTATTTCAAAATATCGTTGTAGTGAAATGTTGAAATATTAAGTTGTAATTATTGCAAATTCAACCAGAGGTCAAAAATTTCAGATTATCAATTCCATATTAATTATTGTTCACGTCCTATAGATTTAACGCCTACTAAAACTCAATACACACAAAAACAAACTTTCAATAGTTACRTGGGGCTATATGGAGGATGRATWTAGGGTGTTGACRAGACATTTTACAAATCATTTTTCATTAAAAAGAGGTCATCAAAACATTCTGTAGCGAAATATGAAAGATAGATTATTACATTCGAATTAAAACTGAGCAAAAACGATACACTCTATCAGAAGGGAATACATGATAAGTTAATTCCACGGAATGAGAGCACACACTTCTTCTTTCTTCKCACTTTTTAGTACTATAGTTATTGCAACATAATTATCAGCTTACATTTAGCATTATTCCAAAGTTAACAATGTCTACGCACACTGATTTGGGGTATAAGGGTGTTGGCATATTTGTATACAAATGCCTTTACAGAAGTATATGTTCAATAGAAACTATGTTAAAAATTCTAGAAAACATCATTGTTACTTCAAGTAAAACTCAAATATACCTTCAACAGYAGCAAAAGCAACAAACGATGCAAATAAAACCAGAAAGAACTTCATATTTGCTTGCTCCACTCGTCTCKACGACTTGTAGCAACTGAAACAGTGCCCCGTAGTAACGCCCTTACTTAGCCACTGTTTCGGCTTTAAACAATCTTCGCCAAATCACATGAATTCTCCCAACTAAAGTATCATGTATCCTCTCAAATATCATTTAAGCTTTGAAAGCCAAAATTGTGATGAGAATCTATAACTTGATCAAGTTGTTGTGATCAAATGCTATATTCTCTTTGGTAACGCTTTCTATATTTTATTATGATTCGCAGGGGAGACTATTGAGATTTATCATCTCCATAGAGAAGTAGAATGCAATGRATGCGGCCATATSAGAYAGTCATCTAGATTRAGCCAAGGGTATTGACGTAAATCTACAGGGACTCTGAGAGTGTTGATTACGCATCATCTTAAACGAACTTAAAATTAAAAGTTTTAAATGTTTAAGACAACGTTTACGTTACTCTTCTAAAGAATAAGTGCAAATAAAACCTTACATTGATCTGAAAACGTCCATGTAAAAAACATATGCATAGGACTTCCGCCTTCAGGAATGCTAGGGTATCATCAGGTCAGGTAATTACACTAGACAAGACAATTGTTTGCAAGTTAAAGGTCGGAAATTCTAAGTTTTCCTTATTAGAAATCGAGATTCACGTCAAATAAGATACTCACAAGGTCATTTATTCAATGAGACCATCTTAAAATCAAGATTGTTGTATGATTTTAACCAATCAGTGCTTTGCATAAATGAAGCCCTCGCTTATCTTTAGGCCGACGTACCTAAAATAAGGCCTCACCGCTTCACAGCTACTTTTTCATATTTAGCAGATTTTGAAGTGAAAGGGATTTGAACTTGAAGACATTTAAAACTCTTCGAGCTAATTAAGAAAAATATATGTAAAATAATCCAACTCCTCACCCAAATCATTCTTGCCTAGAGTACGTCTTGCTGCAGTATGAATAATATYACTCGTGAATTTGGACCTGGAAAATGCGCATAGAAAAATATTTCAGTCTCGGTTGAGGCACAACATTATTTTTCTGGTAAATGAAATAAAACAAATTAYAWTTTATTGCTTCTCTTAATGTTGTTTTGAAGGCTTTCTWAGMAGTATATTGACGATATACCGTCATTCTGACCAATTTTTTCCACACGTTACAATCGCTTTCTGTTGTCTCAGAGCCGCCCGTCTCTGTAAGTCTGTCACTTGATCCACTAACTTCATCCGTACAACAGATAAACATTCAGCCATTTGTAGACAGATGGACATAAGCTGAACTCCACATGTCTGACATTTCTGATAAATATAATGTATAACGCCATATATCATGGGCATCTAACGTCACAACTATCGCTTAAAGGACGACACATGATTCTACACTCAATAAAAACTCTCCTCTATGAATAAACGAATAACCTTCAATTCTTTTTTTGACGTTCCTTTGGAGCTACGATGGACCTGAATCGTGCGTACTCGGAGCTTTCCTACCCAACACCATCAAAGATAAATAAGTTAATAGTTTTAGCCTATACAGAAATGGGGATTTTTTTTAAAGATATTTGCTGGTTGTATTTTTCATATTTATGCGTATTTTGTTTAATCAACTATGAATAATTTTAATAATTTTACCAGCTTGGAAAGAAGTTTAAAATTATTCATGGTTGATTAAACAAACGACGTATAAATAAAAATGGGGATGTTGGGAGAACACTCAAAAAGGCCAAAAATCACTCGCTACGCTCGTATTCTTTTTTAGGCCTTTTTTCGTGTTCATCCCTGCGTGCTTTGTTTCACCGATAAACGCACGGCATCCATCCTTTATTGCTTAATGAACTAAACAATGTCAAGTACATACCTTATACTAAAGCTAACAATWCCCCCCTCGACGTCAACAAGCTGTCCAACAATATCCCTGAGAAATTAACAAGCGCGTCTCTGAAATTTCATATGATGAAGATTCCTTTAACACTGCTTACACCTCTACACATAAAAAGGCTCTTGACAACTGCGGATATAATAATCCACCCATTTCCATTTCAAAAACCACCATCCAACCCACACCCAAAAATAGACAATCATAAAAAACCGCCAAAGACAAATTTGGAGAGGCCAACGAGTTCTGGGGAAAATATATCTGTTTTTATGTCCCAGACAGATGAAAGTAACAGGTGGTTACCAGCAAGATTATAATACTCTCAAAAATAACATTTTTCTCACGAAACTATTAAAACATTTCCAAACTATAAAAACACGTTTTCTATTGGCTGAAGGATCGATGCTCCCAAAAACGATCTAGTCTTTTGAAATAATGAAAACTGAAAATTAGTTTAATTCACTGAAAGTTTGCCAAGCAGTATTTTTTAATGCATACATTCGCCACCCATTTTAATTGTGTAAGCATCTAAACATAAACTTTATAAAAAAACTTCGATTGAAAAGAGTGATTGAGCCAAGGRTATGGTCGTAAATCTACAGGGTCTCTACTGTCTCTGAGAGTGTTGATTACGCATAAACTTAAACGAAATTAAACTGAAATTAAAAGTTTTAAATGCTTAAGACAACGCTTRCACTAAAGAATAAGTGCAAATAAAACCTTAYWTTGATCTGRAAACGTCCACGTAAGAAACATATGCATAGGACTTCCGCCTTYAGGAATGCTAGGGTATCATCAGGTMAKGTARKTACACTAGAMAAGACAATTGTGTGCAAGTTAAAGGTCGGAAATTCTAAGTTTTCCTTATTAGAAATCGAGATTCACGTCAAATAAGATACTCACAAGGTCATTCATTCAATGAGACCATCTTAAAATCAAGATTGTTGTATGATTTTAACCAATCAGTGCTTTGCATAAATGAAGCCCTCGCTTATCTTTAGGCCGACGTACCTAAAATAAGGCCTCACCGCTTCACAGCTACTTTTTCATATTTAGCAGATTTTGAAGTGAAAGGGATTNACAGATGAAAGTAACACGTTAGTTTCCAGTAAGATTATAATACTCTTTTTTTCCTTAGGGAACTAAACATTTCTGAAAATATATATAAAAAAACACGTTTTCGAGGGGCTGAAGGATCGATGCTCCACAAAATGATCTCTTTTGAAATAATAAGCAAGTTTGCCATGCAGTAATTTTTAATGCACACATTCACCACCTATTTTAAAAAAGTTATCGGCTTAACATAAAGTTAATACTACAAAAATAAAAATCTGAATGAAAAGAGTGCGAGTTTACACAGCTATCTAATGTGTCTAGTTTACCATTGAAGCGGGTACTATAACACCCTCATAAAACTACAAGAAAAAATGTCTAACTGAATAAATGGTATTAGCCTCCTCCCCAGGCATCTCTCATACTCCCTCTCTATCTCTGAAGAAGTCTGGGAATAAATATACAAAAGACGAAGGGGGGTGGGGGGTGGGGAAGAAAAAAGGAAGGAGAGATGAACTCCTCCTCTTTCTTCTCTCGCCCCAAGTCTCCCCGCCTCTCACCAAAGAAGAAGTCTGGGAACAAATATACAAAAGACGAAGGAGGGTGGGGGTGGGGAAGAAAAAAGGAAGGAGAGATGAAATCCTCCTCTTTCTTCTCTCGCCCCAAGTCTCCCCGCCTCTCACCAAAGGAAGCCCAACCGTTCGTAAATTAAAAGAATAGGAGTTATAGAGTTGCCTGCGGAGTAGGCTAGAATGATATGATGAGATCAGAATTTCTCAAGCAAACAAAACAAAAATCTTGCTTTTTAGTTTCCTTCTTATGGGCTACATATAATTCCTACATCTTCACTGTGAGCACAATTATGATTTCCCCATAATCCACCGTAGCGTGAACAGTCCTGTATCCGTGTCTCGTTACCGTTGCACGTGACATCATCAAGCCAAATAGGGTCAATTCCCTCGCCAAAGGTTTTGGTGTTGTAGGACTGGACACCACTGAAACCCAGCTGACTGCAGGCGACCGTAGCACCGTTGTTATCACTGTCCCATATATCATCGCAGACAGTACCCCACTGACTGTTGTGATAGACCTCAAGGCGTCCCTCGTAGTTGTTAGATGATCCAACCAGACGAATGGAAGCTGGTGTATGAAAAAAATAACTTTAGTATGCTAAATAGACCGCTTTACTCCTGCATTATGTAGAATCGATATTTAGATGCTT